CTCCTTTATCATCCCAATCTTGCTTCCACCCGGGTTTGGTGACCTCTGAGTGCCTTTTAATCTTAGCACTAATAGAAGTTCTTTAAATACATTCAGCACCTGAGTCAGTGCTTATCTTCCTTCCAACCCATTTCCATCTCCTGCCTCCAGGACTGATAAAGGACCTGTGCTGGGCTTGGATGGGCCAGGCCTTCCCTCCACCTTTCCACCTCCCTTGGAGTTTCTATTCTTGGTGCTCCCTCTGCCTCTTTTTTTCATAAAGAATGGTGTAGGCTTAAAAAGAGCAATTAAATGCAGTGTTTAAAAAGAATATAACTTCTAAATTGTGTTTAGCTTAGTATTTTAATTCCTTCCTACTTAGCAATTCAAGTAGTAACATTTCATTTCAATAGCAGCTGGGATAAGGAGCCCTCTCCTCTCCTGAGCTGTCCCTGCACAGAATCTCTGCTGGGCTGGGTTCCATGTGCTGTTCATGACACCACTGAGTTCACTCCTGATCGTCTGATTGAGCTCCCCTCACCCAAACCCTAACTTGTCTGATCCCTTCTCCATCCCAGCTTCTTGCTTAACCTCTTCTCTCTGTTTTTAAATCCTTGTATTTGTAGTTCACAAATGACCCTGCAGGTGCCCGGTGTGATGAGGCAGGAGCTGCCTGGATCTCCCTTCTTGCTACCCTGGATCTGCTCGTGCTGAATTTTGGCTCCTTGACCCAGGTCACCCTCGTGAAGTGACAGACATAGGGGCTAGGTAAGGGACTTGCTGCAATAATTGCATCCAACTCCACAAAAACTTTAATTGGGCTGTGTAATTGGAATGGAACTGAGTCCTCAGGAGCGAGTTTGAGGCTGAGGTGAGTCACAGGTCAGTCTCTGTAGCTGCTTCTGAAGAAAGATGTGTTTGTTGTGTCAACAGGTGAGACAATGGCAGGTGTGTGTGTGCAACAGTTCCAAGTTTATAGAAACTCAGGGCTGGATTGTTAAATTTTTCCACTTGTGTGACTTTGGCAGTTTGCCTGGGAGTGCTGAGCTGAGGGATTTAGCCTGAATTGCCCCAGGACACAGAACTGCTCTGCTGCTGCTCCCTGGGAGCCCAGGGATAAATCCCAGCACCAGGGCAGAGTTCTGTGCTGGGAACCATCCCAAAACCTCCCTCACCTGACACAAATCCATGTCCTGAGCAGTGAGGAGCAGTTCTGCACTCTGACTTCATTCCTGCAGCACCAAACTCCAAATCTCTGGGTGTTGGTGTAGAAGCAGCTCTGGGAGAAGCAGCAGGGCACAGAGCTGGATTTTGGTGGAGTTCCATTCCAGCTGTTGTGTGTCATTACTTATGATTTAGTACAGGATCATCTCATAAACCCTTGTCAGTTTGAAGTCCACTGTGGATGTCAGCAACGTCTCAAAGCACAATTGACAATTCAGTGGAATTGTGTTTCTCTTAAATCAGCTCTTACTCATCCCAATAAATTACTATTGGAAGTAATTATATCTCTTCCAGGATAGTAAAAAGATTATTGAATCTCAGCAAAATGGGATAGGGAGTTGTGCATTCCCAGACTAATCAGTTTGACTTTTGAACTTCATGCAACAATCCTGGATGAGTTCAGAGAGGCTGGAAGTGCTGGATCCCTTCAGCTGGGTGTGAAACAGCAGCTGGGGATGATTCCCCCTCTGGCTGGAGGCAGATTCCTGTACCAGCCCTTCTGCCTCAGGATCAGCTAATCCCTGCTCAAAGTCCAGCAGATCTGAGCTCGATCCTGAGCTCAGCTGCTCTGCAGCCCTGGCGTTGTTCTGAGCCAGGTGCTGGGGGAAGGAAGTGCTTGGCTTTGTTATCACTTGTTCAGTTTAGTTCTGACTTGAGCCAGAGCGTTTCCTTTTGCTGTGAGCAGAGCTCAGGGAACATCCAGCATGGTTAAAGGTTCACTGGTGATGGTTTGTGTCTCCTTGGTGGCTGGAGGCAGGCAGGGAGATATGTGCTGAATTTGTCATATGTCCCATCCTGAGGGTAGATTAAACCTTGGGAAGATGGCTGGGAAGAGTGGGGTTAATTTTAATTGTTCCTAAAGTAGGAGAACAGCCAATGTACAGAGGGAAATGATGTTCAGAGGGATCCCAGTTCTCACCGCAGGTTTGTACCTAAACACCCCCAAGTGGCTTTGGCTCTGTCTCACAGGCTGGAGATGCACTGGGAGCTGTTCCTGAAGGGATGAGGATCACAGTTTGTCACAGAGCTGGAAAGAAGAGTTTGGGTTTTTCTTCCCTTTTTTTTCCAGTCTTTTATTTAAAATCAAGGCACAAAGTGTCTCCTCTGGGGTTTGCTGGTGTGTAGGGGCTGTGGCCGAGCAGCAAACGGGAACTGTGTGGCTCCAACATCTCCCGGGGAGAGAAAACTGAAGTTCTTCTTAGCTGGGAGTGTCGGATTTTGTAATGGGAGCCGGGCAGCTCGGGGGCAGTGAGTCAGTCTGAGCTGGAGTGACTCAACTTTGTGCCGAGCTTGTTTGGGCTTTGGATCATCCTAAAAATCAGGAGGGAACTGCTGGCTCCCAAACCGAGGCTAGGGTCAGTGCCAGGAGCTCAGCTCCCCAGGGTCGGGATTTGCTCAAGACTGAGCCTTCAGTGCACGGTGTTTTAATCACCAACGCATTAATTATCTTTAGTTTAAGTGTTGTGGCAGATTCTGTAGGAATCGTGGTTTTTTCTCATTCGGGATCAATCAGAATTGTGTGGTGCAAACATCCCGGGCCAGGTGTGAGCCTCGACCTTCAGTGCAGGCTTTGGGACCGGGACAGACCCGGGTCAGACCCCCTGGAATGGGATCAAGCCTCTAAGCCGGGGCTGCTCCTTGTGCTCACCCAGGGGGATGCTCCGAATCCCTGGGAAGTTCCGGATCTTTCTGTTTCGCTTCAAAGAAAACACGGAAAACAGCTGGGAAAGGGAATTGTAGGGAATTGTTCGGGCCCTCCGCAGCGGCTTTGCGTTCAGTCCAGGGGCAGAGCTGCAGCTCGTGTAAATTGTTGTGGCTAGGAAATAAATGGAATTTAATTCTGTCAGCTGGGGAATGGCCCCTGGAGAGCAGGGTCAGCACCAGGTGTCCTTATCGGCCCCGGCAGAGCTTCCTGTGCCTTCTGTCCCCACCCCTGAGCCAGCTCCTGCTCGGGGCTGGCCCCAAGTGCATAAAGCTCGGCCCTGACCCTCCCTGGGAAACTCTCAGATATTTTACCTGGGGGGAGCTTTTTGTATTTCCTCGTTCAGGCTTTAAAAGTCGAGCTTCGGATGAAACTGAAGGCGGTGGGAAGGTTTGAAATGTGAAATGTGGATCCCTTTTAAGAATAACACCCCCCAGGCTTCCCCTCTCCAGGAGGGAGGAAGCTCCCATTAAAAATGGATAGTCTCCCTGTCAGCTGGATTTTAATTCAGCAAGTGGATTTGACTACTGATGTGAAAAAAATTACTTTTGTCACCGTGCTGATATTTTTTTAATGAGACAGAAATGGTTTGGCACCTTTCCAGCTTATTAAAACCTTTGTGAGTCCACAGGCACCGACACAAGGGGATGAGAAGGGAAAATTACATTAAGTGCATGATTGGCAAAACAAAATTGAGCTCTTTTTTATTTATTTATTTTTAATCTATGACAAGCCTGTGAATGAATCTTCTATTATTTATGGGGGAGGATAAAGGGAGCCGTCCCTGTGGCTGCAGGCAGACTCCACTTTCAGTCCAACTCTTCTTTCCAGACAGGGAAAGGGGACACCTGCTGTTATCCAGGACAGAGATAAGTGAGGGGAGCTGTGTGAAAAGGGAGAAATGTGCGTGTTCTGTGGGGAGCTGGGGCTGATTGATCTGATCTCCAGGGGCACTGTGTTTGTGTCAGGGCTCTGTGGGTTCCCAGCTCACCACAGGGAGAATTCCTTCCCCCATCCCAGGGGATCAGACCCTTTCACCACTGCATCCCTCAAGCTGATTCACCCCAGGTTTCCCATCCTGAGGAGCTGCTGCATCCCCGAGGTTTTGCTGCTCAGAGCCCATCCCAAGCTCTGGCCCCTCTCCATCTCTGTTTCCTTCCCCTCCCTCACAGACACTGCAGCCCGTGGCCATCAGCCCATGGCCATCATTCCCTGCTCCCTGCCCTTCTGGGGGTTTGGCTGAGCTGGGAATGCCACAAACTCCTGCCCCAGTGTCCCCTCAGCACTCCCGGTGATGCAGTGGAGATTCCTGCTGATAAAGGGCTTGATGAAGCTCATTTGATAACTGAGACTCTTCCCGCAGCTCAGAGGTCACTTTGCTGGCCCTGCTGGTGCCAACCCCCGGGAGAAGGGGGCTGTGAACACAGGGGCTTCCCCCTGCTGCCAGCAGAGGATTTGGGATTATCCTCCCCAACTGCACATCCCACTATTAATGAGCAGCCAGGGCAGCATTTGAATTTTAATGACATCACAGATGCAGCGCTGCTAATTGCTCATTTGCTTATCTGGAATGAGTTTTAAATCTGTGAAAGAAACCTGAATCACAGAAACCTCTTGTGCAGCTGATGAGGGCAGGGTTAGAAAAGCAGCTGCCCGTGGTTTAACCCACTCTTTAACCCCTTCTCTTCCCATCCCACTGCCCACCTTGCTCCCTGATCAGCCGGGATAAAAGTAAAGAGTTTAAGAGATGCTCTGAGGGCCTGGCTGGGTTTGGACATCCCTGGCTGGGCCGTGGGGCAGAGGGGTGGCTCCACTCCTCAATTATCTCTCCCGTGTTTGTCCCTAAATTTTTGGCTCTTATTGTCACTCATTAGGTGCCCGAAGAGCCTCAGAGCAGTCATTACACAGCCAAACCACCGGGGTAAAGAGGTGATAATTAAAATTGCAAAAGCGAGTACCCAGTGATGTGAAATACCAGAATTTCAGCCTGAGCAGGTCGAGCGTGTGCTGCAGATAAGAGCAGAGAGATGGGAAGATTTGGGAGCTCTTTGGTCCTGCCCTGCAGGATTGTTGTTGTTCTCCCCATCTGCAGGGCACAGTGGCTTTGCTGGGGACCACAGCAGCTTTTTGAGTCGGTGACTCAGGAGCCATGGGTTCAGTTCCCCGTCCTGCTGTGGCGATCTCGGGGATTTAGGATGTAATTCCCGTGGCAGCGCCTCAGGCTGCGAGGTTTGGAGAGGGTGGAGGAGTTTCTGTCCCTGTGTTTGGAGAGCTGGAGCACTCTACGTGCTGCTGCAATGCAAATAATTTTATCAGAAAGATTATTTCTAAATCCTGGTAGAACTGCGACATCTTGGCCTCTTGTCCTGCCCACAATTCCTTTTCTTTCCTGAGTACTTGGAAAAAAAATCTGGCTCCTTCAAGTGTGACTCAGGTAGGAAGAAATCAACCCCACATTCATCATGTCCCGGCCTGAGTCAGAGCAGCATTTACGCCATCGGTGGAGCAGGGTGGCTCTGGGAGAGGTGTTCCCTTTGTCCCTGTCGTTCATCCTGGCTCTGGACTTTGCCCAAAGAACCTCCTGGAAAGCTCAGGGAGTTTGGGATGCACAGCTTCACCCCACAGGCAAAGCAGAGATGTGAAAGCTCAGATGGTGCCCAGCTGTACAGAAGCGGTTTGGGTTTGTGGAGTGACAGTCCTGCCCTAAATCTGATCTGATGGGATCACACAGTCATGGAAGGGTTTAGGGTTGAAGGCACCTTCAAGATGATCCAGCTCCACCCCTGCCATGGCAGGGACACCTCTCCCTATCCCAGGTTGTTCATCCTTGGGCACTACCAGGGTTGGAGCAGCCCCAGCTGCTCTGGGCACCCTGTGCCAGCCCTGCCCTCCCTCACAGGGAAGGATTTTTTTCCTAATACTCACAGCTTGGGATCAAGCCAGCCTGGAGATAAAGAGGTTTTATGTTGGAATTGGGAGTTTTTTTGTGGATTTTTTTCTCTCAGATGTTGGGGTGCACCTCAGAGAGAAAACAGAGCACCTTGGTGTCATTGCTGTGACTGATTGATCCCTGCAGGTCCTTGGCAGGGTGGCTGGAAGCTGTGGGGCTGTTTCCCAGCCCTACAAAGGAGCTGCTGCTCCCCTTTTCCCCGCACACAAAGGCACAGGCAGCACACAGAGCCAGCTCTGCCCTCCCACAGCTCCCCTTCCCCAGCTCCCTCAGACCCTGCAGCCCATTAGAACCCCACAGCAAACAGAATTTCTGCAATTTCAGCTCTGTGTCTGTGGCAGAGCCAGTCCACGGTGCTGAATCCCAGCTGGGATGTAATGGGCAGGGTTCATTAGGGGAGCCCCCAGCTAGCAGCAGCTCCCAGGCTTTGGAGATGATGGGAATTCAGCAGGAATCCTCGGGGGTGGCACTGTGTGATTGCTGCTGCAGGGAGTGTGGCTGATTTAACCACTTAATCAACCTCAGCCAGGCAAAGCTGGGGTTCTTATTTTGGGAGAAGCAGGTTGTGCAGTGCTTTTTTCTTCATCAAATCTCCTTATCAGCCCAGGTGTTTGAATCACTTGGGGACTAACCTTAAAAGAAAACAGCCAATACCTGAATTTATTTACTTTCAAGCAACTTCTATACATAAAGGTGTGGAAATATAGATTTTAATCAGGCTCACAAAACTTTTTTTTACTTTTTCTCTCTTTCCAAAATAACTTTTCAAACAGGAATGCAGTGGATTTGGGTTTTTTATTGAAGGACTCCTTTTGTGTGTGTGTGCATCTGCACAGTGGGAAAGTTTCCCAGCACTCAGACCCAGCTCCATCTCTGCCTCTTCATCCTCTCCAGGTCTCTTCCTGCAGAAGGGAGAAGCCCAAATCTTTGTTTCCTGATGCTCACAGCAGAGGACAAGCTGATGTCTGAATTTGGAAAGTAGGGCAGCGAGAAACCCCAGGCAGAGCAAGGCAACAGCGTCCTGCTGAAAGGGGAGAGTCAGGCATTCAGTTACTCCCGTGCTGTGTGTGGTCCTGGCAGCCAACTCCCCTTCTGCCCCTCCTCAGGTGTCACCTCCACAGGCAGGCAGGTGACAAACACCTCAGCTTCCCCCGTGTTCCAAAGGAAGAACGCTGTGTCAGCGTTCCCAAAAAGCTGCCCCTGGTGCCTTCACGGAGGGGCTCAGGGAGAATTGCAGACAATGCCGGCTTTGTCCCCTCCCTGCTTTGTCCCCTCCCTGCTTTGTCCCCTCCCTGCTTTGTCCCCTCCCCTCCCTGCTTCTCGGGCGCCCTGAGATGCTGAGTCCAAACCTTTAACCACAAAATGCATTAATTACCATCCAGCTCCCCGGGGAAAGGACCAGATGCCAGTAACCAGGGGAAACAAAAAAGGAAGAAGCACAGCAAGGCCAGGGCTTGTTAAATGACTCCGGGTGCAATTACTGCCACCAAAGTTCTTGATAAACATTTCCTAGAAATGTGGAATTCTCCAACCTCTGAGCAGGGCTCACTGGGACTGTGGAGCACAGGAGTGACCCAGAAACTGTGGGATGAGGTCACCTTCCCTCACAGTGACAGGGATGTGTCCTGTGCTGGGGGAGCTCTTTTCTCTTTTCCCCGTTTTTCTCCCCAGTGGCAGCTGCGAGCTCCAGGCCCGGCTCTACGCGTGTCCTCAGCTGCTCACTGCAGCTAATCCTAAAGTTTGGCAGCCACCCCGGAGGGAAATGAGCCACCCAGGGACAGCTGCTTGGGAATCACAGCAGACTGCAAACAGTCTGACACCGGCACAAGTTGGATTTTCCCCGCAAATCTGGCGGCTCCCAGCAGCTCCAGCCCAAAGTCTGCTCCAAGAAGAACGAGGCACAACAAATTCATCCCTCCCAGGAGGCGGGTGGTGAATGGAGCCCAGAATCCCTCTCAGGGCCTGGATGGGAGGGAGGAACGTGGAGCTCCTGGGATTGCTCAGCAGCTCAGCAGAGCATCTGTGACACGAGGGCTGGGCCTGCACTTCTGCTGCTGCATCCCAGCCCAGGATCCTGAATTAGCTGTGGAATGGGAATGCTGGTATTTATAACCAGGGTGTGTCAGTCCTGCTTTCCTTTAATAGGTGTCCCTGGGCAGGTTCTTGTCCCAGCTGTGTCCAGCATGGCTTCCAGGAGCTCTAATGAACCCGACAGTCAGGACAGGCTCCTGCCTCCAGCCACAGCCAGCACTGCGTGCTCTCCTCCCCAAACCTCCTCAGCATCTTCCTTCTCACAGCAGTTTGGTTGTAAGTTTAAAAATGGGATGTTCAGACATGTGTCCTGCTGAGTGACAACATGAGCTGTGTGCTGAGCTCCTCCTGTGCCTGAAAAATTCCCCATGGAAATAAAACTCCATTTTTGAGCACCGGGGTCAGCGTGGCAGCGAATTCCACCAGAGGAACACGCACAGCCAGGGCAGGAGAGAGCTTTGATATCTTTAACATCTGATTCCTCCAGTTTTAAAAGCACTTGGAAAGTTTGAGATGGAAAAACTCCTGCAGAAAGGCCAAAAAATGCTGGAGAAGTGAAACAACCCCACGTTGTTTTGCTGCTCTGCCAAATGGGAACAAAGCTCCTGAATGCAGCATAAAATAATATTGAGGGAGCGACCCACTGAGCACACGTGGGGGGCCAGAGTTGCTTTGTTCTCACTCCGTGGCTCGGTGCAAATTTAGCTTTGAGTAACTCCCAGAACTTCCCTGACTCATTGCTCACTGCTGTTAAAGGTGGGTGATGCTCATTTCCCTATGGATTGTTAGGAGCACTGGTGATTTATTATGTAAAGCGTGGACAAATTAATTCCAAGTGTTACATAGAAGAAATAAATAAATCCAGAATGACACAAGCAGCAATTACTGAAGGAGGAAAGAATCGAGAGCTTTCAGAATGAGCATTGCTAGAGGTTTCATTTCAGTGGGGAGCATGAGGGGTTGGGTAAGAGGCAGCTGGAAACCAGAAAAATGTCATCTGAAAGTGAAATAATTGAAAAGATATTAAAGCAGAGCCAGGGCTGCTGCAGCTGGGTATAAATGAAATAAGCTATTAGCTGCTCTGCGAGATAGCAGCAGGGGAGAGCTTTTGTGAGAGCAGAAATGCAGCAGTGGTGAGGGAAAAACAGCCCTGGCAGCTCCTTTGTGGGGCTGGGAAACATAAAAAGGCCCCTGGTGCCTCACAGACCTCAAATTTGTTGCTCTACACCCACCTTTGTGGGAGAGCTGATTCTTTGTGCTAAACCTCTGCCTGTTCTCCAGCAGGTGGGTCTGTGCTGGGGAGCCCTGGAAACTACTGCAAGCTGGACAAAACCCTGGGATTTTCAAATTTTTGGTGAAGCAGAGAGGGAGGCTCGGTCCTTGGCTGAGGGGAGTACCTGGCCCTGGAATAAGGATTCAGCTCCTGCCTTTTTGAGCAGACAGAGGATCCAACTTTCCTTTGCCCCTCGTTAAATCAGTCCCCGAATCCACATTTGGCCTCAACTGGTGCAAATTTCTCTTTCTGCCATGCAAAAAAACTCAATACAAAGCCAAGACAGATGCTTGTGGAGTCTCTGGTTCAAACCCATTTAAGGGAAATTTCTTCCCTTCTGTTGGAACCCACGTTCCAACAACAACAACGACGATGGGTCAGTGTCCTTGTGGTACAGGCTGCAATTAATTAAGGGGTAATTAGCAAGGGAGGTTCCTGGCCAGGACTGGACTGCACAGCCCCACATCACTTTGGTTCCAGTGACACGCCAATTTCCAGACTGTCCCACCCCGTGAATCAGCGAGATTCCTTGGACTCCAAACCAAACACAGACGGATATTCCACCAGCTCCCGAGGAGCTGGGGCCGTCCAAAGCTGCAGAAATGGAAATCAAAAGGACTTTGTCACATCGGTGCTGCAGCTCCGGAGAGGGGTTTGCAGCAGTTTTTCCTGCTCCAGATGAATTCAAGGGCATTCAAAGCTGACATTTGCGTAAAGACATCCGGTTATGCAGCACCGAGGGCAGCGAGCGCCTGGGGAGACAGGAGTTTTGTTATCAGCAGCAGCGCTCCGTTGGCTCCAGTGCACGCCGAGCCATCCCGGCCTGCATTTGGGTACAAATTACAGGGAGGCTCATCCCGGGCCACAGACGGCATTGAAGTCACTCCGTGCCACCTCGGGCCATGCCACAGCCGCGGCCTGC